AAAAAATAGATCTCCTAATTAGGGACCCTAACTACTAAAGGGTACCCCCTTAGGGGATCTATTTTTTAGATCCTTTTGGGGGTCTGGGTACCAGTTTAGGGCCGCACACCCCCGAAAGGATCTAAAAAATAGATCCCCCTAACTAAGGGGTTCCTATAAAGTACCCCTTAGTAGTTAGGGTCCCTAATTAGCGGATCTAGTTTTTAGATCCCTTTTTGGGGGTCTGGGTTTGCCTCATGACTATAGAGGGTTTAGGGTTTAGGGTTTAGGGTTTAGGGTTTAGGGTTTAGGGTTTAGGGTTTAGGGTTTAGGGTTTAGGGTTTATAGACATAAGATAGACAGACATAGACAGAGCCTCCAAAGCCCCTTAGTTTAGGAATATCCCTTAAATTATCATAGGAACCCGAATGTGATTTAAGGTATATTCCTTAATTAAGAGGTTTTGGAGCCTCTGGGTGTACCTAAACCCTAAACCCTAAACCCTAAACCCTAAACCCTAAACCCTGCACTTTAAACAAAAAAAACCCTAAACCCACATACCCAACTCCCTGCTTGCATTGTAGGGCCGAGGATTGAGGACTCAGGGTTCAAGGGCTGAGGTGTACATCATGCACGGTTTAGAGTTTAGGGTTTAGGGTTTAGGGTTTAGGGTTTAGGGTTTAGGGTTTCTTGAGTTGTGGTAGGGCTTAGGGTTTTAGCGTTTAGGGTTTGTGAGTTCTAGCTCTGGCTGCCGACGCACCCGAGACCTTAGATCCTTTCTAAGATTCCTTGAAACCCTACACAAGAAAACTAAGCCCTTTGAGAATTGAAACGCTTCAACCAAAAAAAGGAAACAGACCCCACCGGTAAACAAAGACTCCAAAAAGCCGTAGCCAAGAAGCTGAATGCCTTAAACATCCTGAAGCCCACGAAACCCGACTGCGAAGCCTAAAGCCCATACAAGCCCTTGGCCAAGCAAAACAAAGCAGCGCCAACCGATGCCACGGCTGATAATAGAAATCCTGCATTACCTTAAGGACCTTAAACTATGGGAATTATGGTATATTCCTTATTATGGGTAATGCAGGATTTATACCATCAACCGCAGGACCGTAAGACCCGCCTCAGTCAGATTATGACGCCCGCGGCCGACTTGGATGCTCGGCCTGGAGTGGGTTTAGGGTTTAGGGCTTTGGGTTTAGGGTTTAGGGTTTTAGGGTTTAGGGTTTAGGGCTTTGGGTTTAGGGTTTAGGGTTTAGTGTTTTAGGGTTTTAGGGTTGAGGGTTTGAGGGTTTAGGGTTGAGGGTTTAGGGTTTAGGGTTTAGGGTTTAGGGCTTTGGTGGGCATCCGGTTTGGGGAGTAAGTAGTGGCTTACAGGATTTAGGGCAGATGGGCTTCAATGATGGGGTTTGTAGAGCGCTTCAATTGAGATTTAGAGGCTTTAGAGGGCTGTAATTCGCGCGAGGTGCGTGCTTTTGTGTGTCTACGTTTATACTTAGACAAGGTTTGTTTGTCATTATTTGACAGGTCAAGTTTGCTCTTTTCATCGTTTGGGACCAAGCTGTCAAAGGTTCATAATTGCCCAAACACCTGAATCCCAACGCCCAATCCTAAATTCCCTGTTACCCCTAAACTTTAAACCCTAAACCCGCAATCCTAGGCCCAACTCAGGGTTACAGATCCGCAAAGTTTAGTTTCATGTTCGGCCATTCAGCAATATTTTTGACCACCAGACGCCATCCTGGTAGCATCAGTAGGTAAGGGATTAGGGTTTTTAGTTTCGGCGTGCAAGAACCGGCTGGAGTTAGCAGTTAGACTAGACTGCCGAAGCTGACTTTTTCTCGCTGATGGCGTATATCTTGCACTGTCCGTCGAGATAGGAAAGGGTCATGGTCCTCATGTGTAGCATACTTACAGGACAGCAGAAGTTCGTCAACATCCCTAGTACGACTGAGACTCTGTCCCTAAACCCTAAACCCTAAACCCTAAACCCTAAAACCCTAAAGCCTAAACCCTAAAACCTAAACCCCAGACCCTAAACCCTGAACCCTAAAACCCACACCACAACTTCAGGGTCCCATAAATCCAACCGAACCCGAAGATATTCAGGTCACCAAGCTCGAAGGCTGCGACCTCATCGAGGCAGCGATTCGATGGGTTTAGGGTGTTCTTTCGGGGTTTGGGGTGTGGGTTTGGGGGTCCAGGTCTTTGGAACGGTTTAGGCTTTAGGGTTCAGGGTTTGGGTTTGGGGCAAGGTGCAGGGTTTTCGAACATCGTTGCAACCCTCTCTGTGGTGTGGGGGGTTTTAAAAAGTTGCACATCGGTTTCATAAGGATTTAGTTACTGGTAGAATGTTATGGGGTTTTGTATCGGCTTCGTAGCTCTTCTTCAGGACCCAAAACTGCAGTTTCAGTTACCATAAACGGAAATATAGTTGGTGTCCGGGCCCCGCCCCAAAGTCAAAGCTATACAAGTTAGTTAAGTCAAGCTCCAGCTCCTCAACGAGAACTCAGTTTCGGTCACATTTTCCTCGAGGGCTCCTACTATGGTCTCTTAAATACTTTTTATAGTGTTTTAAGCATGTGATATAATGAGTCCTTGTATGACACCTCATAGCTGGGGTCCTGAATCTGGTGTCCGTTCAAGATATACTACTTACGTCAGACATGTGTGGCTTGCTGGGTTAGA